ACTGACATTTTTTCATCTCATATGTCACGAATGCAGTGCCCATTTGAAACGTGCTTGTTTGCTTGGTCTGTGTTAATGCTCTGGAACCTAAATCAGAATTATTCCTTGTTGTTAGTGAGCACTCCTCAAAAACCTGCCATTCACTAACTAAATTCAGTTAGCCTTATTACTGTTCATGTGTGTGGTTTATATTTTAGTTTGGATTATTTACTTAACTGGTGGTAGTTTTTCATACAATGCATGTCGGCTACTTCAGCGGTCTGTTAAGTAATTGACAAAATCTTCAGACCCAAATCAAAAAGTCAGCTCAATATAAAGCACTGCATCAACAAAAGGGAAAATGTGCTTTGACTTTGTAGACAAATTGTTGAACAGGAAGTGATTCTATGAATGTTGCTTCAGTGACGATCAGCAGTCGTAACACCCATGAATGTCTGTGAAAGTCTGATATGTGAAATGCTTATTCAATTTGTATTAATATTGAACTTATCGTGTGTCCAAATCGCACCAAATTTGGCACTGCTCTTCCTTGGGTCATTAATTAATGTATTAATATACATGCCAATTATGAAGTGAACAATTCAAGACATTTGCGTCCCACAGACAGACAGATGTTCATTGAATTATTAAATAGGTGCATTCCCCTGCATGTGTCTTGTGAGCTCAGTCAGCCCACACTACGTTCCTGGAGATGACTTATGTTTTACCTAAAAACTTACAGAGTGGGTGTACAGCTTTTCCAAGAGGCAACAGTTCCAATAGAAAAGCTTCAGTTGAACCACACTCTTTCACACACAGCTGAAATATATGCTTTCCACCGTGAGACTAAAAAGCAGCATTCAGTCATGAAAGAAGCAGGCAGAACTGACAGACAGCAACACAATCTCAAAAGTTGTGTGGTGACTTTGTTTAAATATTTGCACTAAGTGGATTTAATCATCTTCTCTGGTAATTTAAGCGCGTTCCTGGTACAGAATGTTACAAAATATTTATTTCCATTAAAAATATCAGTCAATATCAAAATGGTCAAAATGGTGGAATGAGTGAAATACAACAAAAAAATGAATAATCCTTCCCACCATGTTTGTGCACCTCAGAAGAGGCAAAGAAAGTATTTACCTCACCAACCAAAACCCTCTTTATAAAAGGGAAGAAATGAGTTTTGACCCTTTGGCACTGAGACAGGGGTTCTCGTCATCACTGTCGTCATTAGCAGGTCTCACTCTGCTCAGAGTCACACTGAGTACACTCACATTCACTGGCAGCTCAGTTTAACATCAGTCTGAGAAGACAGTTGCACTTTGTAGTGTCTGTTTATTTTTGGGTAGACATAACTCATGGAGCTGCCAGGAGCCGTCTCTGGCTTATAACAATTATCAACAGTAACTTCCTCAGACAAAACAGTGAAAACTTATTTCACCCAAACATACATGTGCACAAATGACCACCTGTACCAACCAAAAACTTATCAAGCCAACATGTTACCAAATACAGGACCTCACGTGGATAGACAGGGATGTATTGATGCAGCTTTTCCTACAGAAATCATTCAATCTATGCCAGTACTGTAGATGCACATCCACAGATTCTGAGTGACAGTTTCAAATGTACAGCAGATGATAGAAAGAACTGCAATGCATAACTGCAGCCAGCTACACAATACAGCAATGGAGAAGTGTAAAATGTTTTGGTTCATTTTGAAACTCTGGCATAACAAATATGGCAGATGACAATAGTCTATATAATTAATAAAGAAGACTGACTGATGTATGGAAGAAACCATTACTGTGAATAAAATATAACTTGGATATAATATAGTTAGTGAGTTATAATACAGTTATAATAAAAACTGAACTCAAGTGGAGAACAACTGTGATAACATGATTAAAGTGGTAGAACTGAATCCATCCAGCTAATTTTGTTTTTCCACATTGTGTGCATGCTGTGCTTCCCCCTTCATCTTGTGGACCAGTCTTGTGACACTGTGTTTGGTAAAACTCACCAAACAGAATGAACTGGATGTGGTTCGACAGTTCTCTGATGAAGTCTGTGACTTCAGCTAATCTTTGGGCACAGTATGAGCTCATTTAAGCAGGTTTATTTGGTATCACTCCAAATTCTTAATCAAGTCAATGATGGTTAAGATGTCTGATAGGCTTAAATGCAATCTAATCTGCATAGCCGCAGTTTACCCTGCCCCCAACAGAGGTCTGTGCAGGGAACACAGCTCTGTCTGTGCAGAATACTGGTTCTGAAAAGTCCTAGTGCAGAAAGAAGAGCTTTGACATATCCCACAAGCCAAATTTGCATTTAGCAAAAGCTGTTCAATCAAGTCGTTGCTGATGTCAAAGGGAATATATGGGTTTGGAAGTTGTTGCAGGCCCTCAAGTCATTGACTGAACAGATAATCCCCTGATATCATCCAGAAGGGCTGTATATGAGAACGCTAAGTCAGTTGCTGCGGACATTCACTAGTGTTTCTCCTGCAAACCCCACAACAGAACTCTGGTTAGTGACAAAAATTAGCCCTTGAGAGAACACAGAAGGTGTGACGGTAGCAAAAATGAAAAACAAAAACAAAACCAATAGCTCAGGAGGAAAAAGAGGAGCCATACACGAAGACACAGACAAGGGGGGGGGAGTGAGGATCAACGTTTTTCAAAATAAGCAGAGGCAGCTGCAGTGATAAAGAGGTCTAAAAATGTATTAATGCATGACATAGGAGTTACTGTTGGCGTTTTCAGACATGGCTTCTAGTGAAAATCGGGAGAACTGGCTAAGGACTTTGCCCGCAGTCCGACTCTCACACATGCACAACACGCGTTCATAACAGCAACACATCCTCGCATTATTCAGACGAGAGGTGGAGCAGCCATTTGCAGCAGACAGGCAGGAAGTGACGTATTAACCCCGCTGCGGAGATCATGTGACTTTGTTTACAGCACCCCTACATCGTCGTCATCTTTTCACTTATCGTTTTCTCAACAGGAGAATGCACATGCACGTCCTCTGGAGAAAATTTGGAGGAACTGAGGAGTCCAGTGCATGTCTGAAAGCAGTCAAAGGGTTGTTACCTTAAGCATTTTACCCTAGTGTATTTGAGCCCTCTGTGTGTGTGTGGGATTGTGGGTTAATGCATGTATAAAATGAAAACATGAGTGTAAAAAGAATTTCCCCTTGTGGGATCAATAAAGGAAGTTTAAGTTTAAGTTTAGTGGCCCTACAATACTAAATGTATGTCATTAATGATCAAGCTGCATTGCACTGTAACTACATTACAGTTTATTTTGCAGTCCATCACTTTAATTGATGAAAACAATGCTCAGCACCTAGGAGAAGCTATGTTAGTGATTATTAGTTATGGTCAAGCGTTCCTGTGTATTTTGTTAAGGGTTGTTGGTGCAAGCATTTCACTCGCATGTGTGACTAAAACTAGATTCATGTGAACTGTAAGTGAGTAAAAGTGGTAGTGTCAGCCGAAGCAGCCTCTACTTTTGCAAAACAAACAAAGAGACTTTATGAACAAACAGCAGTATATGCAGGGATTAGAGGATTCCCTGCCAAGTTAGATGTTAAGGGAAGGGGAGACATCTGTAAATTGCCTCTAAACTTGAGTCCCTGCATGCACATTGATAACACCACACCACATCCACCAGAACAATTCTCAACCTGTATTAAACACTGCAGAGGTGTTCATACTATCAATACGGTTTATACTGTTTACTGTATACAGTTTGGAGGAGCTTACACAACAATTACAGTATTGAGTAAATACAATTTTGAAGTAGAAACCATTAAAAACCTCAAAACAAAATGTTTTTCTTGTAAATGCATCTTTGTTTCTCTTTATTAAGGATTACTCGATAATTTAGGAGCACATGATATACATAAGAAAAGCAGTAAGCCTCAAATACTGTTTATCCAACCTCAGTGTCTGAACTCAGAGTCACTCACTGCTGTGCCTAAATAATATTTGACAACACACACTGAGGATCAGCTCGTCACATCTACACTCAGTGGACACGATGTGCCTGTTGTTAGTGAGTGTGCGCACAGTATTTCAGCTGTGAAGCTCAAAGTGGGATCTGCTGTCAGTCTCAGTGACACTTCTCAAACTACTCAGCTAATCTGCCACCCTGCATTGGCCGAAGCTGGGAAACAGAGTTTGGGTTATGTGCAGGAAACTGCTGACAGTAGGATGCGGCCCCGGCTTTATCTTAAACAGCTGGCTGGATACACGGCCATAGACAGAGGTTATGAGAAGACACAAGCAGTTCACCCACCGACACCATCCGCCTGACTCAACCACAACAGCTTCCTGGCCTCCCCCTCTTTGGCTTTTTCCTCCAGCCAGGTCCTCCACGCTACCCCAGCATGGGAATAAATAGTCTTGGCTCCAATTTCACAATGTAATCAAAACACTAGGCTTTGTGGGAGTGCCAAAAAGACGGGAGCCTGGCAGAGCAGTGGGACAGGGAGGAGAATCGAGGAAGGCCGATCTAGCGTTAGTTTATATAACCAAGTTCAGCTGCAGTAAAAACACAATAATCCTTGGTGAAGGCAGAAACAGTAGGAGCACTAAGGAGGAGCGCTGACAGAGGAAAAGGGAATAAGAAAACAAACAGAAGTTGCAGTGGGGAGGCCTCTGTTGCATGGCCTGAGCTTCTGGTTTGGCAAGGGGAGGAGTAATTGGGAGCTGCCACTGGTGCTTTAAATAGCTGGTGAGAGTGATGGGATGTGGTTTGGGGGGCGTGTGGACCTCATACAGAAGGAGGAGGAAACTAAAATCCTATATTCTATTGTACAATTCAGACAAAGTAAATCATTTAAAACATTTGTGTGATCACCCCCTCAAGACATATCTGCTTATTCTGGTGTAAAACATTGGCCAAAAATAAATCCAATTTACAGTGATTACATGAGAATAAAACTGAGTTTGTGTGACAGCAACATGTTTCCAGAAAGAATTAGTGAAGCATTAGAAAAATTTAGTTTCCTACCTGTGGAAGTCTACTGCTCTTTTATTGCCATTTCCAAACTTCCCATGGTTTCCATGAGGATCTTTCCGAACCTGGAGGAAGACAAGCAGTTAGAAAGTCAGATAGAGCCTATTTGTACAGACTTCTCTCTTAAAAGCCAAAGAAATGACACAATACAACACAAATGGTCTTTGAGGAAGCTTAACGTGGAAAAAGATGACGCGAGCAGGAGCCAGTGGCTGAAAATGTATCGGCTTAAGCTATTGGCAACGCCTGTCATGCTTTCTTAATTCATGCAATGCAGATGACAGTCTTCATTCTTTGTACAAGGCAAGTAAACTGTTCGCTATGACAACAGAGAGCTCGCTGAACACAGTGAGAGAAGAGCCGCAATAGAAGTCACCTTGTAAATGCCATGACACACCATTAAACATGACTTTGCTCTAACATTTTGACGACACAGTCATCATAATTTACAAAGCAATTAAAAACAGGATTAAGAAGTTTGCTCTGTGAGGTATTGTCTGAAATATAATGCACCAACACAGGAGTCACAGATATGGTCCAATAAATATGCAACCACACATTCAAATAAAATGTTGTGAATTTTGACCTATTGTGAAAGACATGTCAGATGCCATTTGGCTTCATTTTTGTCACTCAATAGAGCGCATGACTGAATGAAATTACACACACTCATTGATACCAGTAACCAATATGTCTGATTTGATTTCATAAAGATCCATAAATTATTTGGAGAAATCTATGAAAATGTTGATTAACGCCCCTACCATGCAATGTTAAAGTGAAAAAAAATCCTGGATCCAACCCCAATCCAGATCCATACCAAAATTGTATGGGGTCTTCCCTCAGTCATTTTGTAAGATGACTTTATTTTTTGGTGGCTTTCGGGACATTAAGAGAATGAAAAGTGTTTCAGAAACAATGTACCAAGCCTACCTTTACAAAGGGAGTGAAAGTTGCCCACTTAATGAACCTTAACAAAGACCTTAACAACGTGAGTTAAGTCTGATCAGAACTAAAATGAATCATTTTAATGGTTAGAGTAAGGGTAACCCTAAACTTCATTCCCTAACTTCCCCAGCTATGTTCATAGTGCCTCTGTACATGTGACAAACTTACAGCTTACCAATATATTTAGCATTTACTAATGGCATAACAATTTGACGTGAAACTACTTGGAAATGACAACATGAACGTGGATCATTGGCAGTTTATTTGAGATTTGTTGATCTGGTGATGATACAGTTGCAAAAAGCATAATTTTACCCTCAACTTCCACATTTATGTTAAAACAGATTACCTCTCAGACAGGTCACAAGGTTCACAGCTCAGTGATCAATGTTTCAAAGTATTAAAGAAATACAAATTGTCTGGTTTATAGCCCAATAAACCAAAAAGAGTTTGGGTTAAATATTTTACTTTTCTGTATTCAAATTAAATTGTTATCAGACATGATCTGGACGACATTTAATGAACCATATGTTGAATACAATTAAACTGAATTCTGTATATCAACAGACTCAAACACAAACCAAGCTGCTGGACTAAACTCTGTATAAAACATTGAATGAATTCCTGGATCATTATCAGGTTTCACAAGCTTATATTCTCATTTCTAATTTTATGCTTCTCTTGGGCTCCAAGTGTCCTTAAGCAGAAAAAGGATGTATGATTTCCTTCACAGAGGGGAGCAAAATGACTCCATGAATGAATGAATCCATTATCAATGAATTCTGCCTGAACTTGGGTGAAACTCGGTCAAACCAGGAGTTTCTGCAATCAAGCACAAGGTTGGAAAAAAACAGATTAGTTTTACGCTCTATAACCCTCTACCAACTGCTCCAGCAGCTCCTCTGCCCTGGGGCCAGGATGTGTTGGGTCTTGTTTTTTGTGAAGCTTCCCTCAGGTCAGAAGCTAGCTCAGACGCAAAACCTCATATATTGGTTCTATTGATCATTGACAAAGACTGCGAGGGTGACAACCGTGAGGCTGTTAGTGCAGAGAAATCTGGTGGAATCTGGTCAGGGTTGATAGAAGCCTGGCGTCACCTGACCACTTCAAGTTTGTAGATGGCTTTGCAACCTCTTGATTCCTTATATTATGAATTCCAATGGGCGTTATCTACAGTTGCAGAAATACAACCAATCAGAGAATGAGAGAAGCAGATTCAACAGTCGTGATGATTTATGATTTATCAGCGCTCCGCTGACAGTCACTGTATCAAACCCGCCCCCTCTCAAATAAATAGTTATGATTGGCCCAACCAGTTTCAGGACACGTGGAAACTGGTCTGAATGGGCAGGGGGCCAGACACAAGATCGCTGATTGGTCGAGTTTCCAATATGGGCTGAAAGGATTGATGTGACAGGAACAGGAAGATTGCACTCTTTGCTCTAATCTGTTTTCCCTTCAGTGACTCCTTGTTCGAGGATTTAAGCTGACCTGTATGACACAGTGATTTATCATGTTGAGCAAACAAAAAAGGCTGCAGATGAGTAATCAGAGAGCAGACAGCACTTTTACTTTGGGATTTAGTGGAAATGTTCCATTTTTGGAGACAAGAATCAGAGAAGCTGTGTCCCTCAGCCAACAGCTTTTTTCAAGGCGAGGCAAAATGAAGAAGCCTTATTTAAGAGCACTCACACAGAAGCACTCCCTGGCATGAAGGGGGTGCGCTGAATCCGGATATAGTTAGGCCTTCATGGATCCCTTTCTGGTCGTTAAGAGAGACTGCCAGTTTAAGTCAGGCCTCTCATTGTTTTTACAGAGACTCAACTAGTAACATAAAATGTTCGCTCACCCGTGCCAAAACCTGTGAGTCACTAGCCAAAGAGGGCAGTCAGACAGCCCCCCTTCCTTAACAAACTCTATGGGGAGGGACATCACACCCAGGCATCCTCTGAAACTGCCCACTCCCACAAATGCATACAGACCCTTTGACAATGCCAAAAGGGACCCGACTCAACTCAAATTAGGTCAGATTAACCTGAGAAAGACAAATTCCACTGCCACAGCACAGTGGAGGCAGGAAGGCAGAATTTCTATAAAACAAGAGATATTTCCTTCAACGCAACTAAAACGGTCACAAAACAGATTCTCGTGAGAAAACAGACTTCAAACAGGGCCATTTCCAGTCATTATAAAATCCTAAAATTAGTGTGAGCATTCACCCTTGACTTGGCAATGGCAGCGTATGTTGGTACACGTGACGCCACCATAATGTTATTCCTTTTTTTTTTTGGCCTCTTAATTTTGTCAATTCTGTGGAGCTGGTCAAAGACACATCAAAAAAAGTGGTTCCTCACAGAAGGAAATGAGGCAGCATCACCCAAACCAACAGTGCCACCATTCCTGAGGTTGTTAAGCTGTTGGTCTTGAAACTACTATTGACAGTGTGCCTTTGGTCACGGCCACTCTGTAATTAAATACCAGAGATTTCTGCTTATTTTCCTCTCTGTCCCTTTGGAAAATATATACAGGCTCTAAATACAACTTCTGCCCTGCCCTCTCAGGCTCACTGGCACTGATGCCATCCTGCTTTATTCCTTATCCACAGCTGGTCATTCCACTTCACAGTGAACTACGGTTTGACCAACAAATGCCATCATAAACATGGCAGATGTTGTGGTTGAATTCCTAAGAGCCAGAGGTAAATGTGTTACTGAATCAAGAAAGCTGACAACTGCCTTGGAGGTTTTCTACTGCAGTGTAAGAACAAGGTTTAATCTTCCGACTTGATGTTGAAGTAATAAGAGACTCTCTAATCCTTAATGAGTTATAGGATAAACATGCACTCAGTCTTTAAGTCTGATTGTGCTCTTACACTGAATTGGACTGATTTCTAATGGAATGAAAACAGGGTAAACACATCTTCGTAATCTGACAACAACACATGGCACATATAGCTTGTGGGCCAATTGATTTTTTTTAAGTCAGTGGGGTAAACACTCGGTGGGGTCATCAGCTGCTCTCATCTGCCAACTTTAATTACCAACGCTTTCCTCCTCAGTGAGGTTTTTAACCATGTGACAAAGACATTTCTTAAAAGATTAGAAGCCTCAAATGTGTTTAGCATCTTATATATCCATATGCAAATTTCCCCAAATACAAATTAATGCTGAATAAAATGCCTCGATTATATATTATTTTGAGCATTCTGTGAAAACAGGCCATGAATATAAGCATATAATATATATATATATATATATATATATGGTCTGAATCATGTCCACTCACCCACACAATTGTGTTGCCTTCATGTTTCCTGTCACTCTTTCCAATAGTTGAAAACATTTCACTCTTGCTGCAGACAGTGGACCAACTAATGCTGCCATCCACAGAAATGGGCTGATAATGTAATTTAGATGTAAACTAAGCTGCTTTCAGACAGGCACTGCACTCCGGATAATCTCCTGAAACTGTCCACAGGAGCTGTATGTGAACACAATTGCTTGAGTAAATTGGTGCCGACATTCTTACGAGTTTTTCCCTCTAGCCCCTTTATAAAAACTCTGGATAATGTCCGAGTGAGTCCACCTTAGAATACAGCTGGATATTGTCCGAACGTTTCACAGAGAGCAAGTGGGAACGGTGAGGAAGTTTTGAACCGGCAACATGTAGAAGCTGAAGACAAAGATGTCAACTTGGAAAGATAATGAGATTAAAGAGGGACACCAGTGTTGATGTGCTGTAAACATAAACACATAAACTACAGAAAGTGTCCGTACTCTTTCCAGAGTTCATGTCTGAAAACTGCTTTCGTAACACTGAGTCCTTTCAGACTGACAGTGACACAGGTTAATCTCACATTGGTGACTGAACTGAATGGGTCAATGCACATCTTCTGAACGGAGCCCTCCCCCGCTTCCACAGGGCAACATGAGGTTCAATGAACAGGCGTTACTATTATAATTGGGATTAGTTTAATGTCAAAGAGGTTTAAATGTCATTTGATCAACTTTCCAAATGATTTCAAAGAGACAGCAGGAGAGACCGAGACACTGAAAGCGGAAAAAAGTAGCTAAATTATCTACATATGTGATTCAATTTTGTGTAATTATAGGTTATT